CCACATAAGGGTCGGTTGGCACACTACAGCATAGTGTCGCCATGGGAGCTCGGCATCACCTGACATCCGTCCGTCCATCAAGCCAGCCAGCCAGCCAGTCTTTAAACAGGTAGGCCACCCACAGGCCGCCAGAGAAGAAAACGCACGAGCCCCCCCACTCTCTCTCTGTGTTTGTCCGTCCGTTCGTCAGGTACAGGGCGGGACTGTACAGGCAAGAAGCAGACAGGCTCATGGCAGCCAATCTTGATGGCATCTAAATGCTACAACCCTAGCTATACAGCCAACCGCACAGATCGTTTCTCGCAAGCAGCCGGCCAATCACATGCAGGCACGCACGCAGGCAGGCAGGACAATGACCCAATCGACGGACGACGTGTCATTCATTCGCATTGATTCGGTCGGTCGGTCGGCCGATCGGTCAGCTGATTGATAAATAAAAGGAAGGGGCCGGGAGAGAAGAGAGAAAAAACAAAATGGCCCTTGTGATAAAAAAGAAACGACAACGCAAGACAAGACGAGAATAGAAGCCCACACACAGGCACTCTTCGCTCTTCCTTCCCCCGGCACACACGCTCACACACGCACACTCACACACGCACACAGACGATTGAATGGCTGGCTGTACAGACAGAGAGCCATAAACCAGTCATTCGAAAAAAAAGATACGCTCATCGATCGCCCCACAATCTACTTAAGCACCCACACACCCACACTCGTGCATGTGCCAGCCATCCAGACATCCGATTTGTGTGTCAGGGTCAGGGTGATGGTTGATCAAGGTTTGGCGTTGACGAGGTGCAGTCCACCACCACCACCACCACCCCGCTGCTTGGCGCCGAATCGAATGGGCTCCTTGCGCGGATCGGGTGTGTTCTCCGATAGCGACTTGAGGAACTCACACGCCTGCACACACATCCCGCCATCTCTCGCCCCGTCTCCCCGTGTGTGTATCTTATCTGTGGGGGATGGAATACGGAGCGGACCTGTGTGTGGGGGTCTTCCCTGGGTGGTGTGGCTTCAGTGGTTGGCACGAGTGGGCTCTGTGAGGCGGTGGAGGTGCTGGAGGCCGAGGCCGTGCTCTCGTCGCTGTCGTTGGTCCTCTTCTTGGACTGCCGCTGGGGCAGCTGGTCGCACGACGCCGCGTGGGGCACAGTGCCATTCGGCGGGCTGGTCTGAGTCGCGGCCGTGCCCATTAACGAACGAATCTGACACACACAGACCGACAGACACACAGAGAGGTGTGGAGGTCTTTCTGTGGACGACTGACTGACCTTCATCATGAGTGCGGTAGAGTTGTTGGGTATCCTCTGCCCCGATTCCTTGAGCCCCCCCACTCCAACGCCCCTCGAGTAGCCATGCGACCAGGGCGGCGGCGCGTAGGGCGGCGCCGTCGGCTCTTGGTACGCCCCCACACCTCTCACACCACCATGCCCACCACCATAGTGCATGCCCCCGCCCCTGCCCACCCCGCCCATCCCCATCCCGGACGATGTGGGTCTGAAGACTGCCGGCTGCATCTGTGCGCCGCCGGCGTTGACGGGGGTGAAGTCGTTGAGGGTGGCCAGAAGACCTGACACGGCCGGACCGTCCGACCAATTGTTGTGCTGCGGCTGCTGCTGCTGCTGCTGCTGGAGCTGCTGCTGGAGGTGGAGCTGGTGCTGGTGGTGGTGCTGGTTGTGGTGTGCCGGCATTGAGGGAAATGAGGGGTGGGAGGGGAGGTGCAGGGCCACCTCCGGGGCGCCGCCGCCCCAGGAGCCACTCCCCATGGCGACACCAACATCGATGTGCCCCCGGTGGTCTTCCCTGTAGGCCCTTCTGGGCAGCGGCGGCAGCTTCTCCTCTACTGGCGATGCGGGCGAGTCGCGCAGAAAGTCGAGCAGGCGCGTCTCGATCTGGTCACCGGCAGGCCGCTGTCTGGCCGCCCCGCCACCGTCATTTCCCCTTTCCTCTCTCCCCCCTCCCTCCGTCGTGTGTGTGTGCACGGGAACGCCCCCGCTCTGCACGAGCTTGAGGAGGGCGTCCTGCATGGCCTCGCTGCGCATGTCTGCCGCTGGTGACGATGATCCGTCGGGTTTGAGCAGACAGTTGAAGGCTGAGGGCGGGAGTGAGGAGTTCGAGAGGGGGCTGCTGCTTGTGCCAATGGAGTTGTGGTCGTGGAGGGGCTGGGGCTGGGCGGCGGCCTGGGTAAGGTCGTCCTTGGTCAGTCGGCTGAAACACTGATTGACAGGAAGACAGCAAAGAGAGATCGGGTGGGATGGATGGTCGTGTGTGTGTGTGCATACCCAGATGGATGAGCTCTGGGCGTCGTTGAGGGCCTGTGCGCAGCTGTAGTGGAGAATCACCTGGGCAGTCGACCCACCACCGCCCTGAACTCAACACCATCCATACACACACAACTCACTCAACACGGTCGCTCTCTATCTCGCTCTGCCCGCACTCTGACTCACACGACTCACATTCGATTCGAGAATATAGCTTTCGTTTTTGCACAGCGCCTTTCGCCTGGCGGCCTTGGAGGGCAGCTCCAGGTAGCAGTAGCCGTATGCACGCAACACATTGCACGGGACTATGCCGGTGCCGCCGCCACGCCTGCCACCCAACACACACACACAGACGGAGAGAGAGAGAGAGAGATGCATCCATCGGGCGTGTGTGTCGCCTCTCTCTCTGTGGGTCACTTGTGTGCGGGTGTGTTATCTGTGTTGGCGTCGTCGGCTGTGCCGGTGTTGGTGGTGTTGGCGTCTGTGTTGCGCGTGAGGTGTGAGGGGAAGTTGGGAAAGTAGATGCACGACAGCTGGCAGCCCTCAAACGTGCGAAACACATCCTACACAACACACACCATGCCATGGCATGCAACAGACAGGACAAGACAAGAGAAAACGGCGGCATTACAAGACAAGAAGGAGCGGCGCGTTTGTTTCCTTCCTCCCTCCCCTTGTCTGTCCCCGCACTCCCGCACCTCTGGGGATGTGGTGGCGTTGACGCGCATCTTGAGGTAGCACACCTCCTCGGTGTCGGGGTTGGCTGCTCAAGAGAACCGACGGACACAGTCAGTGAGTAAGTGAGTGAGTGCCTTGTTAGGTTAGGTAGGTGAATGTTCTGTGGTGGTGTGGTGTGTTGTGTGAGTGTGGCTGGACGGACTTACCAACTTGCACCAGGAGGCGTCTGAGCATGGCCTCGAAGACCCACTCCTGCATGCAGTCCCGGCACTCAGCGAGGATCTGACACAAACACACACACACACACACACAGAGACAGATGAAGAGACTTGCGAATCGCGCCGCCCAGGCCCGCCCAAGACCACTCCACTCTCATCATTCTTACTCACCCGTTCCTTGCCCCGTTTGCTGCACTTGGCTGCCAAGTTGTGGCTAACGTCGAAGGGGTCCTCCACATACCACTGCTCCCTCGTGCAGCTCACAGCCAACCCAAACTTGTCCACACCCTGCATGTGCTGCACCCTCCCACCACTGCCACCACCGCCCACAGCACCGCCACTTCCGCCATTGCTATTGCTATTGTTGTGTCCGCCGCCACCGCTGCTGCTGCTGCTACCGAACAGCAGCCCTCCCCGTGTGTTGGTATTGGGGTTCTGCTGCTCGTCGGATGAGTCGTCGTTGTCTTCACTCTGTGATGTGTTGCTGAGCGAGGTGTCTGTGGTGCGCCGCTCGAACCGCTGCGGCAGGGCCAGGCGGATCGAGACGGCGTGCTCCGACCAGTTGAAGACGTGACAGTAGAAGTGACAAAAACCCAGGAACAAGGCTGCACACACATCACATCCATAGCAGCCAGGGGTCTGTTGATGTGATGTGTCCCTCTCTCACTCCACTCACTGTGTGTGGAGAGGGTGTTGGTGGCGGCCTGTGTGGCGCGGACCCTCTCGACGTTGGCGAAGAACCACACGTCGTGCTCGCCCTCCATCTGACGCTCAAACGAGTCACTGTCACCGTCACGAGCACCACCACCACCACCATCAGCACACTTGCTATCGTCGGCTGCGTGTGCGGCCTTGTGAGCCCTGGATGGGCCGCCCCGCCCACTCCAGTAGCCCTCGGCCGCATCCCACTGCTGCAGATTCGGTAAAATGGGCGGACTAATTGTCTGCGAGAGATGAGAGAGGATACACACACATATGGCAATCAATAGAAGGAGTGTGTGTGTGTGTGGTGGTAGTGGGGAGAGGTGGGGGAGAGAGCAGGTACCTGTAGGTAGAATATGGCGAGCAGCATGTAGGCGTAGCTGTTGAGGGTGCCGTCGGCACTCCCCACGATCTGCCGATCCTTCGCCCACGCCTGCAGCAAGGGACAAAGAAAGAGAAAACAGACGCACAAGCCCATCCATCCATTCATCCATCCATCCATCTGCCCGCCATTTGTTGTGTGTTGTGTGTCCCCCCGACCTTGACGAGCCTGCCCAAGTCGCTGACACGTGGGTCGACCTGGGAGTACGTCGCCAGCAGCCGCGAGTTGTGTACTCCCAGACGGTTCTCCACGCACAAATCTACCTCCAAACCTGATAGATAACAAGCACAACCACACCACAACACACATACCTCTCCCCTTCTCCCCTCCCCCCTGGCTGCGTCAGGTCCCTGACCGACCGCTTTGCTCATGGGTGATCTTAAGCAGCGGCACCCTGGCCTGGAGGATGCGTGTGAGGTTGGTGAATCCGTGGGCGGGGCCGTCGTTGCTCTCGAGGTAGTTGGCGATCTTTGTCAGCACCTGGGTCTTGGAGCATGGCGTGGGCGGGGTGGTACGGCTCAGCAACACCACATCTACATCGGACGCCTGCAGGCACCAAGGAAGGGGGCACAGCACATCAGGGGACGGGAAGGGTGCTGTGCTGTGCGTGCGTCACGTCATGGATACCCACCGAGCTTTTGAATCCGTTGACGAAGGAACCGAACACTTGCACCTCATAGGGGAGGTCCAGCGCTCGCAATATCTGACGCCACACAACACGCACACCATATGGATGGCAGAGACCATGAATGACAGCGCCTCCGCGGCTCTCTTCGCGCACACTACGCCCTCTCCCATGCCTCTTCTCCCTCCCCGGGTGACCTGTGCGATGGTGTCCTTAATGCCTTCAACCGCCTCATCTTTCTCAGGCCAGGGCTCTCCCTCCTTCGCCAAATAACGACGCAGCAACGCCTCCAGACCCTCGGGCTCCTCGGGCTCCTCGGGCTCCTCCGTCGTGTGGTGAGGCTCGTCCTGCTGTGGTGGGGCTGCTGCTGCCTCAGTGCTCTCCTCTGTCTCCATCACAAACTAGCGACTGATGAAGGGGCGCCGGCGCATGGGCGGCGGCTCAGCTGCCTTGGAGAGCATCGACGGGCATTCAGCCGACGAACGGAGGGAGGGAGGGATGGCACGGGCCTGACGATGATTGATCACCAGAGCGGAGAGTGGGCAGGAACAAACCAGGGCGTTGAATGCGAAGAAGCGAAGGCAGCAGCACTGAACCTCTCCTCCCTTTTTCTCCCCTCCCCTTGCGAGCTCAAAGCCTCAGCCTCTGATCTTCTCTCGCCTTTTCCAGGCGTCTGCAGCTTGTGTCTGTGAGGTGCGGCTGTGCAAGGAGTACGGTGGTGAGGTCGTTGCTGGAGCTGGATGCCCTTCAGCACCACTACCACTCGATTAGCATGACGCCGTCCCTCACGCTCCCCCTGTGGCGCCGCAGCCCCTCCCTCCGCCTCATCACGCTGCGGCTGATCAGATCGCTCCTCGACCTCAACGCCACCCAGACAACGCCCCTCTTCACGCAGAGCATCGTTCCTGCCCTTGCAAGGGAATCTCTCACCAAAGGTGAGGGAAGCAGCCTGAGGGGAGACAGACAGTGGCGGCGGAATGCTGACGCTCCCTCTGCGTGTTGTGGTCTTGGCGTTGGGTGCAGGCATGTATCCGTCATATGCGCGGGCGGCGGTGTCGGTGGCTGTGTGCAAGGAGACGGGCGTCGTGGGGCGACGGCCGGAGTATCTGCTTATCCGCAGGGGCAAGGAGCCCAGCAAGGGCAAGGTGAGTGAGATGGACGCCGGACACCAGAGAGAGCGGCAGGCAGCGAGGCAACCGGCGTGTTGCACTGTGCGTTGGTCGTCTTGTTCAGTGGTCATTGCCCGGCGGGAAGATTGACCTGGGCGAGACGACTTTGGAGGCGGCTGCGAGAGAGCTCAAGGAGGAGACTGCACTCAACAGCACCGGTCGGCAACACACCACACACACCGAGGTCGCTTCACCACTCGACTCTGTCTCTCTGTTCTGCGGTTGTTGGCTACGTACAGATGTGAAGCTGTATCCTGATTCGTTCTACTCGAGTGACGCCATCTGCTTCGACAGCCGCCACAGGTGCAAGTACCACTACCTCATCTCCACGGTAACCAACCAACACACACACTCACACACAAAACAATACAACTGCTCCCTCCCTGCAAACCATGAGTATTCTTGTCTTGTCTCTGTTCCAGTTCTACGGCTGGGCTTCCCGCGACGCCAAGCCCAGGCCCATGGACGATGCGCTCGAGGCCGCATGGTTCACCAAGGCCGCTCTTGACGACCTCCACAAACACGGCATGGTGGACGAGGCCGTCATCCACGCCATCGAGAGAGGCGAGAAGCTCCGCCAGTCCGGATGCCTCGACCGGTCCCGCGCAGTCGCCGTCGAGCCCACCTCCAGCCATGCAGAGACCCCGACTGACCCCAAGGGCGCAGATGAGACGGCAGCACCTTTATCACTCTTCTGGCGGTCACCTGAGCGATGGCGGGCGGCGTTTCGACACCAGCAACGCGCAAGCCGACGGCAGAGTAGCAATGGAAAGAGGGTGTCTAGTGACAATGACAATGGGACGATTTTTTGGGGGGGCAGCAATCAGGGGAGGCGGCAATCACAGCTGTACACGTACTGAGTGAGAACACACAGGGGTCGGGTCGCATTTCTCGTGTGCCGTGTGGGTGGTGTGGTGAGCAGCGGTCCCTCGCTACCGAAGGGCGAGGATCCGCTCTCGCCAACGCAATCCCGCAGTTCATGAGAAGTGCACCCTGACGGGATGGAAGGGGAGGGGTTTCGTGTTCTTGTGCTGTGCAGTGGCGCTGTATGTATGGTTGTGTCTATGTGTGTATGTGTGATGTGTGTGTATGCGGGAGCATGCAATGTGGCGCAATGGGTAGGGCTTTGCTCTGTATCTACCTGATGCTGGGGAGGGCCTGCGGGTTATTGGGCCACGTCGGCAGACAGCGGAGGGAGGGAGGGAGGGAGAGCGGGTCATGGCCTTTTCTGTACGTATGGCTGTCTGTCTGTCTGTCTGTCTGTCGTATGTCGGTCTTCCTTCCTTTCTCCCTCTCTGCCCGTTTTGCTCTTCCAATTTTGCGGCGGTCGTTGCCTCATGGGATGAGGGCAGGGAGGGAAGAAGGAATGACACGACACGACCACTGCTGCCTTCTCTCCCTCCCTCACCCTCTCACTCGCTCGTTCTCTCTCACCCCCTCCCTCCCTCACGGTCTTGTGTGTACAGCAGTCAGTCATTCAGTTACAGTCAGCCGGAAAATTGAAGGGAGAGAGGGCCTTGGCCCACCATGGCATGCGAGGCATGCACACACAGACAGCTAGGCAGAAAGGGCCAGACAAGACACGAATGGTGTTGAATGGTATGTATGGTGCAGATGGATGGATGGGTTGTGTGCACATTATTACTGCTACGGGCGGGCGCGCTGGCTGGCTGGCTGGCGGCATTTAGTCGGCTGTCGCACTGTATTGCTACTGCGTGAGTCGGTAGTCGATGCACGTGGCCTCTGTGAATTGATTCAATGAAGGATGAATTGCCTTATTGCCTTGATGGATGGATGGATGGATCAAGCCTCAAGCCATCACGGGCTTGCTAGCCAGCTTTTTCCAGTGCTGTCGTGTGGTCAGCGTCCTACTGGTGGGACGGCTGGTCGTTGTTGACGTGTGTAGCGCTTGTTGGGTCGGGGAACGCACGCGACCAGGAACCGTTTCTTTCATCTAATGCAAGGCACTCGGCGGTTCACACAATGAAGGTCCCAAACGATGGTCAACCCACACGCGCGTCGCGACTCTGCACGGGCAAATACGTACTGTACCCTCACAGAAGTCATATACAGCACTGATCAACATCGATAGACCACCAACCCCTTCCGCAGCACGTCAAGTCTCCCTAACTGTAACTATAATCACACTGTCCTACTTCTCTCCGGTGTTGCCGCATTCCACCACAGTAGCTGTACAATAGGCGCGCCTGCTGCGAACAGGTGGGCTGAGACTCTTGTGCTGAAGCGAGAAAAAGAAAACGCTCGGCCGAGACGCCCCCAAGCTCGATTCTCGACCCGAGACGGGACACACGAAATAAAAAAAACTATTTGCAAGGTCCTACCCAAGAATATGGTGGCGCTCTATCATTCGGGTTCAAGAAAGCACATGAGCAGGACGTCGCGACCGTCGCGCGTCCGTCGCGTCGACGGCAGCTCCCCCCGGCTCTCGTCCAGTCTGCTGCTGCAGCGGACGAAGAGCCTGGACGACATCCCCGAGGTCTCATCGGGGGAGACCTCGGAGGTGGACGTCCAGGACAGGGGCGGTCCACTGCCTGAGTGGGCCGAGCGAGGTCAGAGAGAAGGGAAATGAGGCAGAGAGGGAGAGATGAAATAGACTTGGATAGATGATTCTGTCTTTGTTCATTCCTACAGACATCGAGAACGGCTTCGCCCAGTGGATCAGTGTTATGCCGGAGGAGACGGAGGAGTGGGCGCGGCGAGGTAAGAGGGACGGAAATCTGTCTGCACACACGAGGAGAGACACAGACTTGGATGATGGACGGGCGCACAAAGACGTCTTCTTTGTTTCTGCCTGTTCGATACAGACTTGCTGAGGAGCATCGGGGCGTGGATCGATCAGGGGATCGACGAGGAGGAAGGTAAGGAAGGAGAGTGACACTCACTGGTGGTGCATGTGTTATTCATCGCTGTATGTATGTGTTGATTGGCTCTGTGTGCTGTGCTGTATGCAGAGCCAGGGGGGCTGACCTCGGGGGT